CTGCCCAGTCTTCCTCCAGACTCTGGCACCTTGATTTCTGATTGACATGCAAAATTTGCTTTCATCCAAAAAAAGTACTTTGGATCACTGAGCAACAGTCCATGCTGCTTCTCTGTAGCCCAGGTCAGGCGCTTCTGCCGCTGTTTCTGGTTCAAAAGTGGCTTGACCTGGGGAATGCGGCACCTGTAGCCCATTTCCTGCACACGCCTGTACACGGTGGCTCTGGATGTTTCTACTCCAGACTCAGTCCACTGCTTCCGCAGGTCCCCCAAGGTCTGGAATCGGTCCTTCTCCACAATCTTCCTCAGGGTCCGGTCAGCTCTTCTCATTGTGCAGCGTTTTCTGCCACACTTTTCCCTTCCCACAGACTTCCCACTGAGGTGCCTTGATACAGCACTCTGGGAACAGCCTATTCGTTCAGAAATGTCTTTCTGTGTCTTACCCTCTTGCTTGAGGGTGTCAATGATGGCCTTCTGGACAGCAGTCAGGTCGGCAGTCTTACCCATGATTGCGGTTTTGAGTAATGAACCAGGCTGGGAGTTTTCAAAAGCCTCAGGAATCTTTGCAGGTGTTTTAGAGTTAATTAGTTGATTCAGATGATTAGGTTAATAGCTCGTTTAGAGAACCTTTTCATGATATGCTAATATTTTAGATAGAAATTTTGGGTTTTCATGAGCTGTATGCCAAAATCATCAATGTTAGAAACAATAACAGGCTTGAACTACTTCAGTTGTGTGTAATGAATCTAATTTATATGAATAATGTTTATCAGTACATTACAGAAAACAATGAACTTTATCACAATATGATAATTTTTTGAGAAGGACCTGTACTTATTTTTTTTTACGGTTTCTGACTGAATTTACTCCTGAAGGGTGAATTTTTCAATTCTGTTTTATTATGCGTCACATTTATCAGAATGAATGAGATATTGTGAGATCTTACTAAACTAGACTTGCTTCATTCCCAGATAGAAGTCTTGACCTGTCAGGGTCATTCTCTGCAGCTCTGTGCAGGAAAGGTGCATTTGTCTTGATATTAAAAGCGAATGCAGACATATCTGGTTAAGTGTTGGCGCTAGCAAATCACTGCTCTTTAGTAAAGCAAATGCAAATGTAAAGACTTGGCAATTTTTTTCACTGTGTTCTTTGGCAAAAACAAAAATAACTTAAGTATTCTGTTATGCAGCAATATGCTCGTTAAATATCTTTATTAGTATTTGAATGGTTATTTTGCATGCAGTTACTTTTTTAACCTGAGTAATTTCTTTAGACTGCATCAGATGAGTGAAGAAAGATGTGATTCGTGTAAACTCACTGCTTGTAAAACTCACCAAGATGGAAAAACTGAAGATTTCATTGCAGCCCCGTTCTCTCTGTCCCCAGAGGACACCACTCCAACTGGGTACTTGTTTGCCTTAATTAGCCAACTGACAAATATCCCTGAAAACCTACTTCCACGTTTTGCAAAGAGACAGGATTGCGACACATGTAGCTGGACCTGTCTGACGGTGAAAACATGACTCAAGCCGTCACTCATTCACACCAATGCAAACTCATGTAAACACAAAGGAACTTAGCTGGAGTTTTCCCCCATGAGAACATGACCAAAACTGGGCCTCGTTCCATCTTTCAATTTTTGCTCTTTTAGCCGAGCATCTCCCTCTGCATTCCAGCCAGGGGTACATCACGCTGATGATCACTGCCGCTGGAGCGTCGCCACATTGTGACTGCTTACATAACAACAGCAATGAGCAGGAGTACAAAGGGAATAGGGGTATAAATAGGGATTTGGGTTTGTTCACATAAATGTGTTCAGAAATGCATCAACCCACTTTCTAAATGGGTTTGCGCTTATTTGACTTTCAACTGCAGCACAACAGTTGTGTTAGATAAACCCTTTTCGATTCTCTGCTGGTTCCCTTTTGGTCTGAGACTCAATTAAATCTGCTTCTTTCAAACACATCAAATTATTTACTGGGTACTCTGTTTTATTTGCTTTATTGCACAAATTATTATTTTTTGGGTAAAAAATTATTATCATTATTATTATTATTATTGCACTCGTGTTCTGTCCTACTTCCTGCTGCCTACTTTTGAAGTCACAGTAGTGTGTGTGTGTGTGTGTGTGTGTGTGTGTGTGTGTGTGTGTGTGTGTGTGTGTGTGTGTGTGTGTGTGTGTGTGTGTGTGTGTGTGTGTGTGTGTGTGTGTGTGTGTGTGTGTGTGTGTGTGTGTGTGTGTGTGTGTGTGTGTGTGTGTGTGTGTGTGTGTGTGTGTGTGTGTGTGTGTGTGTGTGTGTGTGTGTGTGTGTGTGTGTGTGTGTGTGTGTGTGTGTGTGTGTGTGTGTGTGTGTGTGTGTGTGTGTGTGTGTGTGTGTGTGTGTGTGTGTGTGTGTGTGTGTGTGTGTGTGTGTGTGTGTGTGTGTGTGTGTGTGTGTGTGTGTGTGTGTGTGTGTGTGTGTGTGTGTGTGTGTGTGTGTGTGTGTGTGTGTGTGTGTGTGTGTGTGTGTGTGTGTGTGTGTGTGTGTGTGTGTGTGTGTGTGTGTGTGTGTGTGTGTGTGTGTGTGTGTGTGTGTGTGTGTGTGTGTGTGTGTGTGTGTGTGTGTGTGTGTGTGTGTGTGTGTGTGTGTGTGTGTGTGTGTGTGTGTGTGTGTGTGTGTGTGTGTGTGCGTGCGTGCGCGTGCCAGCCATCGGGTATTAGCAGGCAGCCACAATGAGAAAATCTCTGCGTGACCCTCCATCTGCCTTCTGCTCGTTCCTCCTCTTCCACTCCTTTTTCATATTAAAGTTTTTAACTGAAGTAATGAATGAATGGATGAAAGTTCACCCACCCAAGGCATTATGCCTCATTATCTGATTCTGCCTTGTGGTTTTTGGCAGCAAGGTGGGTAGATCAATTTAAAGTAGAATCTCCTAACACGGCAAGTTTTTAAAGTTTGTACCTCTTTATACCGATGTCATTGTAAACTAACCACCTGAAGAGACCCATACTTAGTCTCTTACTTTTCATGTAAATTTTAAAGATTTTAAATGCATTTGGTAGCTGAGGTCTAACTTTAAACCTCCCTGATGCCCATGTTGCCTCCTGCGTCTCTAAAAGACCTTGAGAGATGTTAAAGTCACAGACAGGAAAACCGCCAGGTTTGGCTGGTGAACGAGTGGGTGTGAAAAAGGGCATCGTGGAGAAAGGAGGAGTCCTGCACAGACTGACAGCAAAGCTCATTACACATTTCTTCTTGACTCCTTCTGGACTTCCTAGCGAGCCCTCAGGCCTCTGGCCATTGTTTGTGTCCATGGTGGATGCTCTGTGCTGACAGGACTCGGCCATTTGACGTGAGAGACTCATCTGTTGCTATAAATAAGTCTGTATCTGTCAAAACACCAGCACTTGGATCCTGATATTGATGTACTTGTGCCGTATTGCTCCTTTGTTTTTTTCATTCATCATGTCAAAGCTTTGCTTCGGTCTTCTCTATTATTCAACCCCGACTTCTTTTCCATGTTGCTTACAGGAGACGAATCAACACCCCATGATTCTGACTGTTGCTTTGTTTTATTTTTTAACTTCTCATCTTTGAACATTCAGAGTTTCTGTTCCTTTCCCGGTTCTGCTCCAACTATTCTGTTCCTGCTCTAACTAGTCATCCGGATATTTTTGTCACATCCCAGATCTGCGTCTGAGATTTAATGACCTTCAGAAAAGCTTTTTGCTTTTTTTTGTTTCTGTGAACTTTACTCTTTCAAAAATAGTAATTGGCACTAGTCGTGTGCCAAAGTCCAGAGAGGTGTGGAAATGGAGGGAAGCTGCATCGGGTCCAAGAGTCCTGCAGAGTCCAAGAGTCAGCAGCCAAAACCATGTTTTATTAAAAATGGAATCGGTAGGGTAGGTGTGAGGAACATTCACGCCGGATCACATCAATTCTGTGATCCGGTCCAGTTTCTTTCACCTGAGACGCCTTGCAAAAATCAAGCCCATGCTGTCAAGAGCCCACCTGGAGCGGGTACTGCATGCCTTTGTAATGTCTAGGCTTGACTACTGCAACTCTCTATATGCAGGTGTGTGTCAGTCATCACTGCGTCGCCTACAGGTTGTGCAGAACTGCGCAGCCAGGTTCCTGACTGGGACCAGGAAACGGGACCACATCAGTCCGGTTCTGGCCTCCCTGCACTGGCTTCCGGTTTGCTATCGCTCACAATTCAAAATCCTCGTCTTTGTTTATCATTTCTTCCAGGGTGGTGGTCCCCCCCATCTGGCCACACTCCTGAACAAACATTCCCCATCACGCGCTCTGCGCTCCTCTGACCAAGGCCTGCTCGCTGTCCCTCGTTCTAGGTGTCGTACCCGTGGAGACCGGGCTTTCTCAGTCCTAGCACCGTTACTCTGGAACCAGTTGCCACCCTCAGTTAGGCTGTCCCCTTCTCTGCCAGTCTTTAAGCATCACCTAACAACACACCTCCTCCGCTTGGCGTTTCCAGAACATGTTTGATTTTGGCCCTCTTTTATGTTGAATTTATTTCACAGTTTTCATTGGTTCACTCAATCCATCCACTCAATCCAATTGTGTTTCACACATTTGTCCTGTAGCAGAGTGTTTAATCTATTTTGTAATTTGTATTGCTTTTATTGTTGATTTATACAATATATTTATCTACAACTGAACCATGTTCAGCGCTTTGGGCTTCCTGACAGGGTTGCGGAAGGCGCTTTATAAATAAAGCTTTGATTGATTGATTGATTGATTGAGGAAACTGACCCCTGTAATTCGGTCTGTTTCAGTATCCTCCTTGTACCAGGAGACGAAGACTCTGGGAGTCCTTCCTTCTCTCTTTTTGCCCCCCCCCCCCCCCCCCCCCCCCCCGGTTGGCTCCGCTGGTTTGTGTATGACTGTTCAAGCCCCAGAAAAGACTGCTGCTCTGTCATCAAAGATCATGTTTGTTACTGTGCCTTTCGAGCTCTTTGACTAACCGAATGTGCTGGTTTGTTTCTGTCCTCCTTTGCAGAACATCATGGAGCAGTTTAACCCATGCTTACGGAACTTCTTAGCCATGGCAAAGAGCTACGAGAAAGCGCTCACCAGTGAGTACACAAACGAGATCTGTCATTTTCCCGTCATTCAGGCAGAACGCTGCTGCTTTTAGAACCTTTTGACTAATCATGAGTGGGGACACAGCGTGTGGATGACAGTGCTCTGGAGTCAGTCGTAGAACCTATAGAAGCCAGTTTGCTCATTTCTGCTCCAAAGGGAGTATGTTTGAGTTGCTTAAATTATTTTGAATGTTCACTCATCAGATGCAAACTCTGGTTGTTTTCCTGTTGTTTCTTCTTGTTGACGTCTTGTCTTCATCGTTACCTTCCAGCTCATTCACCTTAAATCTTTACCTCTCCTGAGCATCCTGCATCATTGCTTCTAGTTGCTTGTGTGTGTGTGTGTGTGTGTGTGTGTGTGTGTGTGTGTGTGTGTGTGTGTGTGTGTGTGTGTGTGTGTGTGTGTGTGTGTGTGTGTGTGTGTGTGTGTGTGTGTGTGTGTGTGTGTGTGTGTGTGTGTGTGTGTGTGTGTGTGTGTGTGTGTGTGTGTGTGTGTGTGTGTGTGTGTGTGTGTGTGTGTGTGTGTGTGTGTGTGTGTGTGTGTGTGTGTGTGTGTGTGTGTGTGTGAGATGGCGAAACTGAGTTGTGCAATAATTGCAGCAGAAGCTCAAGGTGAAACATAAAGTGATAGAAAATGTCTTGTGGGAGACTAAATGGAGCACAAACCAATGGGAAGTGGAGCAGGGGGCGTTGCCAGAGTAATGGTACCCCCACCCATGGGGCCATGGAAACAGGAGCAGGCTGGGACGGTATTCAGGACAATACTGAGGAATAAAATCAAAAGATGAGGAAATTATAAAGATGCTTCATTATTATACTAAAGGATGCCCTGCTGCTTATTACTGTTAATTACATTTGATGCGAGTCGCAGCATTATCATTTAGAAGGTTTTGTGTCAGACAAGTGTTCAGAAAACATGAGATGTCGAGCTGGTGCAAATGGTTTAGTGACAAAATCTGCATGATTCATTCTTAGATATCCTTTCCAGAGGTCGGAGGAGACTGGCACGTTGTGTGCATCATGGTTAGGTGGGCTTTTTGTTTGGATAGAGAAGAGATGCAGGGTAGACTCGCGAGCCTCACTCCTGTCTGATAGATCAAACTAAAAATAGCCGTGTGACTCCCTAAGCAGGGATTGCACTTCATCAATGCCACACAACAGCACAGAGGCAGAGTTTAGAGTAGAGTGATGCTGAGCAGGGTGAGGAACCCTGCAATCATCTTATTGTCACTGGAAGCATGTCAGTGCGTTTTCTTTATGAGTTGTTGAAGTAACACTGCGTAGCATGGCGTCCCTGAGGAGGACGAAGCTCCGCATGATTCATGAGGGAGGTGGACTCGGTTGGGTGTGACTTGGAAACATTGTGGAAGTGGTGCAAAACTAGACTTTCTGTTTTAAGGTCCCATTGCGGTCTGCAGCAGACCTTCACAAGATGGAGGGTCGGAGGAGGCTGCATGTTCTTGGAGAAAAAGAAAAGCAAGAAGGCTTCATGAGCAGAAGGAAATTGTGTCAGCAGCAACGTTGGAGGAGGCGACTCATCTAGAATAGTTTAACCAGAACGTTTATCATGTGATTTTTTTTTATTTTAATCTCATATCTATTAACAATAAGTAACATTTTTACATATTTTTCTAACTAACTTGTTCATCATTGACAGGCAAACGCTTCCTTTCTGACTAGGCACAAGACTGCTGGATAACATTTTAGTTGTGAATTAACAGAACATTGATACTGGTACAGATAAACTATCTAAACCACCATGTTTAATCATACTGAGCTTATCACATCTGCATTGACTTTGTCTCTCATTTCTGTTCTTCAAACATCTACTGACATCAGAAACGAGCCTAGGTCCCCTCAGACTGCCAACCCAAGATCACTTTAAGCAGACTTCACAAAGTCTCTGGAGGATTTTACCCATATGCTAAAATTTAGCAAAGATTTTTTTTCCTGAAGTTACCACAGTCTAAAAAATTAGGTTAAAGATACAGATTCTTTGTTTTTGGTCTATTAGATCACTTCTACTATGGGCGGAGCTCTATCCATAGTTCTTTAGTTTTTGTGCATGAAGGTTTTGTCTTTTTCTGTCCTTTGGAGTCTGAGGGCCCTCTGTGGCAGCTCAAAGATCACACAGCCATCAGCCTGACAGCTCTGTAATAAACCCAACCCTCATCCATATGCATTACCAAAATGGACGTGTCTGCTGTTGTCATGGCTGTCAGAACCTCTGACCCATTTTAATAGGCTGCCAGTGCTGCCCGAGGCAGACCCGCCTGTGTTTGTAGGGCCATGTGGCGTCCCATGCAGGAGGGATGACATCCTCTGGACAAATGTTTGAATTGTGGCATACCTTTAGGATCCGGGTGTCGATTCGTTTGGTTTTGGGTCATCTTGGTGGTTTTGCAGGCGTCATGATTGAGATGCAAAGTGATGTTTGTATTAAACAATCTAGTACTCGCGTGAGTAATACTCAAAATGATCAGTACACAAATGGTGGAATTAGTCGTTGTTTTGTGGCTTTTTAAAATGCATTTAAAAAGTTGTCTTTGCTCTAAAACTCCTGAAATGTTGAGTTTGAGTACGTAGACGAGTTTACATGGAGAACGTCAAGTAAACACTGGCCTCATATGGAAGGTCCTTTGATGTCTGAGAAAACTGCTTACTATTGGGCATAAGTAGACTTTAACATCTGAAGGTGTTTGCATGCTACACCAATATAAGCAGAAAAGGAAATCTTGGTCTTCCATTTAGTTTTTCTTAATAACGGTCTTCAAAATTGAATCCCTAATAAATACTTGGTCCTTCAAGTAATAGATTTAAGCCGATAAAACTTCTAAAAGAGCAGCATTTTAGACAATTACAAAAACCTAGAAAGTATCTAGCTTGATAGGCAGCCTTTGCTTTTTGCCTTTGCACCTTCTGCTTTTTTCGAAGTCTTTGCAACTTTCTGCTTCTTGCAGTTGCTTCCATAGAGCTTTTTCTTTTCCTACCTGGTCACCATTTCCTATTGCTCTTTATTTCCCACACCCAACCGTATCTTTTTGGGGGAGTGGAGGGTTGGGGCTGCTGAGCTAAAGAAGATGACTCGGCACCCTTGACCTGATGCCCAATGCTTCCATGTTTTCAGGTGTCACATTTGCTGCAAAGGGCTACTTCGACGCTCTGGTGCGGATGGGCGAGATGGCCAGCAAAAGTCAAGGCTCTAAGGATCTTGGTGAGTCCTTGTAGTTGGCAGTGGTACCCCTGGCAGATTGGAGGGGGTCTTGCATTAGCAGATGGTGGATGTTGTTGCCCGTGCTGTTGAGCAGAAGCAGCTGATGACCGACCTTGGACTGGACATACACATACAAACATTGTTTTTCCACTTCTTTGAGGTTTTTAAGAGGGTTGGGATCGTAAAAAAGTGTTTTTAGTTTCCTGATTGTTTATTTGATTCAGTTCATTGCATTGCTAATTAATGACACCTTCACATATGAATCCTGTTTTAGTTTGGTTAATCCTTTGGGTTCGTCATACAGTGATCCCTCGCTACTTCGCGGTTCGTTTATCGCGGATTCACGACTTCGCGGATTTTTTCTTTGGAGCCTTATTCAAGGGAAATTTGCCGATTTGCGGTATTTTTCACAGATTTGCGATATTTTTCTATGCGAAATATCAAGAAATTCCTGTTTTTTTCCCATCAATTTCATCATAAAATGCACTTTTTGTAATAAAACTATAAAAAAAAAACAAGTAAAAAATTTTTTTTCTTGAGTTTTACCCACAAAAAGAGAATGTGATCATACGATAATTCAATATAGTACTGTATGTCAGACTGGTTGGCTGGATTCGGGGGTTGAGCTTGTAGGGAGCGGAAGTGAGAGCGTCGGTGAAACGCCGGCTCACGATTTAATCTAGGAAACCCCCGAGCGTTCGAGCGTCAACGAAGTGACACGGAAATGCCGGGCTTTCCAGAAGTAAGTAAGATAACTTACTATGGGCTGATAGTTCGTGGGATTGATCGGTAGGTTGGAAACTCTGATCATGAATCTGAAGAAACGATGACTGAGTGGTGATCTGGAAAGGCGACTTCCGTTTATAGCCGCAATTTGTGACGTAGGTGCGACGTGGAGGGAATCCCCGCGAGGGGCATGCTGGGAGTTGTGGTCCATAGTGGAGGCCGGCTAGCTGGAAGAGGCTGGCCTGGGAACTTGGGTTCTGACACTGTACTGTAAATATGGTATCCCTACTTCACGGATTTTCACCTATCGCGGCCAGGTCTGGAACGCATCTACCGCGATAAACGAGGGATCACTGTATTTAGAAAAAATACTCGTTTAGTTCACTGTCTTCACAAATTTAGTCGAGCATGTGGTATTCACACAAGGCCAAACCAACACAGCGTTTTGTCTGGTTTTGGTTGGATCAAGTCTGGTTCTGCTCACTTAGACATGCCTTTTGAGACGAGTGGCATTGGTCAGGGGCAAGAAGAGGCAAATGCACATACAAGAAAATCAGTGAAAATTGGGCTGTAGTTGTAGACCCAGGCACACAGCAGGGAGTGTGATGTTTTGCTTTTGTCCCGGATCACTGCAACTTCCTTTTGCATAAGGCGGCATGCATGGTCAGAATCTGCAGAGGAGTGGAAGGGTGCTCAGAGGAGGGTAAAATGAAGATCTCCGAGATGAGTGAGAGGATATAAAAGCTGCATTGCATTTATTATTTAAGGTAGAAACATTTTCTGGTGTTTCCTAGTTTTTCTCGGGGAGGATCATGATTTCAGTTTTGCACAGTTTTTTTTCCTGAAAGAACACATAGTGGAGATTTTGAATCCACTACAATCTTACATATAAAAAGTTAATTGCATTGGCTGCACCCAGAGTCTACTCTACAATTAACCAATGTAATCCCTTGTTTTAATGTGGACCGATGGCCTAATCTAAAGTATTTGTTTAAAATTCTCTTAAGTTGAGAATGAAAAGCCAGTCTTGTTTGTGAATTAACATTAGTCACTACTCCATTTTGTTTTGCAACTGGTTTTCTTGTACAAATTTGCGCAAGAAATTAAAAGAAAAGTCTCAGTACTTTTTTTTGCATGCAACATTTTGCTAGACAAGCTGCATGTGGTTTTGGGTGCAACCTCTCCATCGCCCATCAATGCATCCTCGTTTCCATCAGCTTTTTTGCTTTGCTTTTCATGTTTTCTGTCTTGCATTCGTGTCAGGGGTTGCCTGTTCCTTTGTTGATTTCTTTTCCAGCTGCCTAACCATGACTCAGCAGCCTTTAACTTGGCAAAACCTCCCACCGCCTCCAGTTAAATGACAGACTAGGCTGAGCAGAATGGATTGATGCTGTCCTCGTGCATCAGTGCTGCTGTTGACTGTGCAGAATGAAGGCGAGAGATGATTGCTCCCACCGTTCTTGGAGCTTTGTGAAAGCTTGACCGGTGCAGAGCCTCATGGTGTCTGCATGATGTACCGAAATAACCCGGTGAAGGGAAAGGAAAGTGGTTTTAGAAGGATTTACTTCGGTCATAGTGTCGGTTTGTATGTCGGCTAACGAAGGCCTGACTTGTTTATCCATTCTTTGGATTAACGCGTTGTTTTGTGATGGATGTTTCACTGTCGTGAATCTTAAGAGGAGCTGAACATTTATCTGGATCGACTGTAGTTGGGATGAAGTTTTCAGATCAGTGATCTCATATAAATGAAACAGCCCATTCTTTGTTTCCAACCTTTTCCATAACAAAAGTGTTCTGATGGTATTGCACCCTTCGGGATTTCTGTCTGCTTTGCGTTAATGAGGAGCGGAGGAAACGGGGATCGCTTTGTCCTGGAATTATGTGGAAAAATCCTAAACCTGCTAGCCTGTTAATTAGCAGATAACAAGGATTGTGTGTTCAGGAATCCTGATGAAGTGAAGGTTTGTGGACAGTCTTTATAGCCAGAAGCACAGGCTGTTTGTCAGGCATGATCACCTATGATGGGTGTTGCCTTTATAATGAGTCCATACAGATTTGCCACATTGGACATTGTGTAATTTGTCATTTAATCAGTTGCCTTAATATAATATGCTACTTAGTGCATTATTAAGCATTAATAAACAAAGGGTTCATTTGTTAACGTTGCAGTTTTTTTTAAACTAATAAATATCCTTCAGGTTAGGACAAAAAGCCAGGGGGGGTGTCTGCTTAGTAATGCATTATATGAAATGGTTACACAGTTGTTATATGAAGTGCATTATTAAGCATTAATAAACAATGTAACATTAATAAATCCTTATTGTATAGTATTACTGTTAGATTATTGGATTTCTGGAAATGTAGCGATGTTGATTGTGTGGTGCCATTTAAACTCCAACTGCTAGGTGGCAGCAGTTTTTACCCCTTTCATTCTGATGGAACGAGATCTTGTGATAACGCTGCGTGTCTGTGAAGCATCTGACCTGAGTTTGTCAGTTAATTTAAGTCTTAAACATTTCAAATATCGGCTGCCTATTAGTATAGCAGTAATATTGCATCATCTGACATGTATTGTATGTATTTGTGTATATATATATATATATATATATATATATATATATATCTTCAATATCTTCAATATCTTCTGATAGCCTCTTAGTCGCCATGTTTCTTGATCATCTGTTTAAATTCTTAGAAGACAAACAGAATTCCAGGTTCCAGGTAATCCAGTAGGCCCAGTGTTACTTGTAGAGCACATGTGATGAAGAAAAAAAGGACTCAAAACTTCAAAATTTTAGGTAATACTCCCAAAAAAGAAGCAAGACTTCTTTAACAATGTAAGAGACTTGATCAATTTCTTGGATGTTAATTTCTTTCAATTATATTTGTTGGATTGGTAGGAGGAAACTTCATGAGACTCTCCCGTCAGCCATCTTATATATATATATAATAATTATGGTTCAGATAAGACATGGATGTGATTCAGCTGTGTGTCCTTTATGACACACTCATTGATCTGCTCATGTTGTTTTTTAGTGTGAGTTTTAATCCTTTAACCTGCGGCTGTCTCAGGTGCATGTGTTGTCCGCTACTTCCAAAAGGAATAGTTTGTTTCGTGGCGTGTAAAACGCTGCAGGCTGGTACAGGTGATGAAAAAGGTCACCAATGTGTTTCTCACAAATGGACCATAGTCCCAAACTCTGGAGGTTTGGTTCAGAAACAACGGCTCAAACAGAGTGGTGGATTAAAGGAAACCACTCACAGATAAACATATGGAACGTTGTACTAGTACACAACCTCATATGCCAGAACAAGCTGTACTCAAAGTGAGTAATTAAAACATAAAAGCATCATAATGATGATCAGCATAATAGTTTATTCTAAGCCAGTGGTCCGCAAATGGCGGCCTGTGGGCCCTCTCTTTGTGGCCCCCAAACCCCACGTGCACCCCCACCCCCCAGCTTTGGTTCATTTTAAGTTGCAGGAGATCTTGTCTCCTATCTGCTCCTCCAGAGACAGCATGGACACGAGGGTTACATGGTGAGGGTCCCCCCCCCCCCCCTCTTCACCCCCAGCCCTCTTGCTTCTGGGTCTTTTTTGTGTGTGGCCCTCGGACCATTATACTTGAGGACTCCTGTTCTAAGCTGACTCACGTCCCTCACTGGGTTTTATTCGGAGCCAAATTGGTCATCACGTTACACATCCGATGCCACAGCCACGAGAGGCTGGTACAGGAACAGGAAGAAGATGTGATGCCACACAGTTTTAGTTATCCCCGATTTACGCCACACTCAGTTTGACCAACTGCTCTGCTGCAGGACATCTTGTGTGGTGAGAGAGGAGCAATTTCATGACTGCAGAGTGGAGTGTCATCCCACTCATCTGCTCCTCTTTCACTACTGCTCTCGGTGTCTGCAAACACCCCCGCACTGATGTGGGAGCTCAGTCAGCTCTGGGAGAACACGCCGACTCGACACTCGTTTCCAAAAATAGATTCAATAAAACGCCTCGATCCGAGCTGCACTGATGGAGGCGGAGACGCTCCATATGATGCTGGACCTGCAGCCCAAAAATGGTTGGTCGGTGATGTCATCACAACTGAAAACCAGTTTGTCTGTCTTCCGGATGCTGTATATGGGCATCAGTGTGAGGAAAATCTAGGAAGCTCCTGCAGTTCCGGTTCCCCTCTCTGACCAAATAAGGACTTCAGCATTATCATGCAGTTTTGCTCAGAGGAGGAACCTACTCAGAGCTGTGCTCTGGCACACAAACCT